CCGAGGTACCTGCCACCTCTGAGCACCCTGGTGGTCCCTCTGAGTGGCCAGGCAAGCCAAGGACAGAGACTGGCCACCAACACACACAGCGGGGTCACGGATCAGCTCATGGGACAGAAGGCTGAACCAACAGCAGGCAGAGGAAGAAAACCCAGTTGCCTCCAAAAAAACCTTTTATTGGGGCCCATGGGTCCTGCCACAGGAGCTGGAACTCAGCCCCGGCCACCGCGAGCAGCAGGTTCTGCTCTGGGCAACGAGCTTCCAGCCGTAAACCAGCAGCTCAGACACCTCGGCAGAGCCCCTCGGAGCACCCGAGCTGGAGCACTTCAAATTTATGTCCCAAATCCCTGTTCAGATTAAAAGTAACTCTTCAGCTTTCCATCTGCACGGATGCTATGAAGGAGAGGAGGGGGTCAGTCAGCCAATTTATCTTTCAAATCGGGGATAAAAATTGACTTGTCATGGCAGAAAATTCTACCAAAGACTATTATTGTTGATTGATTCCTCTATGACAGAAGGTCAGATAAGCAAGAGCAGACAAGATACCAAAGATAATGAACTTCCCCCTACTAGCATTAAGCACAAATAAAATATGAGTCCCTGTAAACCGAATGTTACGTGAAGAATGGAACAAAAATTCCAACCTTTGCAGGGTGTCCTTCAAACCAAATTCACAAATACATCTAGTGACTGACCTAACGTCTCTACGTCTCTAGCTACGTTCCTACCTTCTCATAATACCTGAGTTTGCAATGCAACACATTCACTTTACCCTGTTTAAAAAATACAAGTCATTAGAGGACTTGGTGCAGAAGGTATTAAGAATGACTGTCCAGGGAGCCAGATTCGGGTTCGCTCTATCAGCTTCCTCCTTACTTGTCAGTTTAGTAAGGATTTTCGACTCCCTACAACAAATGGGTTATTTGGTAACGGATGGTGCTGCCAATCAACCTTTGTAAAATTTGCTTTATACAACAGAAAGCAGAAGATTCCTGTCCATTCATCATCATAAACGCATTTAGGTTTTTTGTTGGTGGTGGTACAGCATTAGCCTTGGGAGTCTATTTTGTATAAACCCAGAATACCTAATAGATTATTTCTGTTGGGTATTTGGCAATAAGATGACCACTTTTATGTACACTAATTAAAACAAACTCTTATTCATCAACAGATTATAATAATTCAGTAACTGTAGAATAAAATTACTCCTATGCAATTTCAACAATTCCTTGAGTGTATAAAACAGCAAGCCAGAAGATAACCCGTAATAAAAAGATCATATCAAGCTATTTGGAAATTAAACTTAAAAGCTGAGAAATACTTTCTAACTTACAAACAGATACACTAAAATCTTCCCGTTTACACTTGAGGTATAGGCTGTATGCGAAGGCTTTCCTGAGAAATACGCGCTTCTCCCATTTCACAGTCAGAAAGCAAATGAGATTTACGGAACCACCTTTGGATGATGAAGCTCCCTCAAGCTGAACTGCTGCCGGGCCCAGCAGCCGTTACCCGTAACATCCTATTTAAATAATAATGAAAAATGAGCAGCTTGTGGACGTTTAGGAAAGGGAAACCGTCGAGCTGAGGGACGCCCAAGCAGGACGGCAAAGGCGGCGACGGCGCCGTGGGTCCGTGGCCAGCCAGCAGCGTGTCCCCAAGGAGGTCCGGCCACAGCGGCGTGGCCTGGGGCACGGCAGAGCTGGTGACCGAGCAGAGGTGGCCAAGGCAGGGTCACAACGTCTCCAGGGCTGCAACTGAGGCAGCGCCCGCCGGGGAAGGGAAAGGAAAGACGACTTTGGTGAATGAGACTTTTGCTCACCATCGCGTGCATTTTGGTCTCACAGCAGCTTCAGAACCTCGCTCGGTGCCACACAGGACAAGACAAAAAGGTAGCAACTGGTCCCCCTGCGCTGAAGGAACTGAAGTTCTTTCCAAAAACATTTTTAGAACAGCATTCAACCGTTTGTTGATGAGCCCTCTATGGCTACACAAACACCAGATTCACATCTAAGGACAGAGGGAAGGAAATCCAGCCAGGGTGACACAGCTGCCTATGGGAGCAACTGAGTCCTCAAACGTTAATTCTTAACGAAGGAGATGAGAACAAGAGCATCTCATCCAACCTCACCACCACCACAAGCAGGTTACCCATGAAAACACCCAAGTTCAGATAAACACCAGCACTTAGCAATTACTCAAATAGCCAACCAGTTGTCATCAAACCAGTTCCCTGCGCGGTGGTGGGGAGGTTGCGAGATGATAAATCCAAACCTTGCAACACCAAGGACAGAACAGTTTACAAAGTCCTGCATTAATACTATTTTTTCCTGGTAGGAAGGGATTCCACAAGCAGCAGAACAGTCCTGGCAGGATACGACTATGGATCGTGCGTTCCCCGAGTCCAGCAGGGAAAGCCACACCAGGGGACACTGGAGTCCCCTGTCCCCATTCCACAGGGCACATTTACCCCCGGGTACATCAGCTGTTCCCAGAAACAGGCTGCTTGGGATTGCTGCAACACAGGAGCTCCTCAGAGGTCAGATACCACCCTGGAGGAATACACTAAAAGGGACAATCCTGCCTCTTCTCTAAGTAGGTTTTTCCTGCTTTTGTGAACCTAAAATGGATGTTAAGGAAGTGATGAGAAATTACTTGCTGTTCTCTAGCAACAAGAGCACCTTTGTGTGACGCCAGGAGCTGCAGCAAGGCGATCTCAGCCCAACGGAGAGGTCTGCAGCGACAGCGAGGGGCTGGGGACAGAGCCCCCTCCTGCAGCCCCCAGGAGGGGACAGGGCAGCCACCCCATCCCTTGGGAGCGCTACCATCCCGCTGGAACAGGATTCAGGGAAAGCACAGGAGCTGCCACCCACACCTGAAAACTGCCCGGGGAACAGAAACCAACTGGCGAGACACTCTTCCTTCTTCTCCACTCCCTGCCTTCTTAAAATTATTATATTTTAAGAAAAAAAGCTTGGCACTTCTCTAACACCCACTTCTGCAAAACCGCCCGTTCGGGACACTAACAGCTCGGTCGAGGTGAGGCCATTTGCTCTCTACGACAAATGCTTTTTGGGGTACAAATCATGGAAAGAGCAGTGCGCGAACAGCATCTTCTCCTTGAGGTAGTCTTAGTCATCTCGGCCCCCAGCCCCCAAAATACAAAAGAACTAACCCTAACAAACACTGTAACATTAAACATCTTCACATTCTGTAAACCGCTGGAGAATGCATCTGCTGCATTCATACAGAACCATGTGCATCGTGTTGAAGATCATACATTCAACTCTGTCGTGAAATAAATATATAGGAAAAAAGAGTTAAAAAAAAAAAAACACAAACAAAAACAAAACAAAAAAAAGATTCTTGCTACAATGGCAGGTTCTCCCACCGCTCTGTCTCCTGCCTGGGTGGCGTTTGCCCCTCTCCCGGGGTGAGCCAGCTCCTGCCCGGGGCTCAGCCGAAGGCACCGGCCGGGCCGAGCTGGGTTCACTCTTTGCTCACGCTGGTCTTGCAGGAATGTAGAACGGCCTTAAAGAGGAGAGGCAGCTGCTCCAGGGGGACATTCACCATTTTTCCTGGTAAGAAAAAAACCCAGAATTAGCCGCCACTCCTGAATCAGATTTCAGAGACACCTAAGCCAGCAACGCTGGAGATGGTTTTACCTTGAACCTCTCAGAGAAACAGTTAATCATCCCACTGCTACATTAGACATTTGATATTCATTTGGACACAACAGGATTTATTATTTACTGAATCGAAAGCTAAATAAATGGCCAAAGTCAGATCAAAATGATTTCTCCACAATGGAGCAGTATTTATAGAAACTGGGAAAGACTAAATCCTGTCTCTCCTCAAACTCCCTTGTTGATCTCGATGAGTAAATTACGAGAGCTACTCTGTGATTATTATCTAGTTCGTTACAGTGGAGTAGGATGAAGCGTACGGAGCCTTGACACAGGAGGCAAGTACCTCCCTTTGCCATAACATTCAGGAACAAACAATGTTTTAGTAACACCAGACCTTGTAGATCCAATTAGTGACACGGCGGCATTTGAAAGTTCACCTGCAGATTTCAGAGGTGCAGAGGAGGTGAGAGCCGGGGGTGACGCTGCAGAACTGCCCCCCACTCTGCTTATCCTCCTTAATCACACGGCATTTCAGGGATCTCTCTAATTCTTATGAGATAATTACTCAAACCAGCATTATACCCTTTTGAGACAAAATGCCTCCGAGATGGGATTGAAAGGAAGAAAATAAAATGGAACCTGACCAAAAAACTTAAAGGGCATGAGGTCAGAGCAAGGCAGGTGCCCCTGGGAGCAGGGACATACCGCCAGCGGCACAGGGACAACTGGGGGAGCCAGGGGTGAGAGGACATCAGCTTGAAGGTGGGGGAGAAGCTTCGACAGGAAAAGGTCCCTCACAAACATCCTCCACCAAAGTGAACGAGAATTTCACTGCTATAAATTCATTGTGTTTTAAAAGCAGATTTCATCATTTGCACGTGATCCCAGTGGGGGAAGAGCTCAACAAGTTACCTGCAATGTATCGTATCTCTGGCAAACACATCATTAAATCCGGGAAGCGGTTTGGCTGGTGTGGGTATTTGTACTCGGTGAAGTCCTGGCAGACGTACCAGTACCGCTTGTTCAGCTGCTCCAGCTGGGACGCGTTCGTCAGGCCCCTGATGTCTGAAAACGAGCACAATCAGAGTCATGAAAACATGAGGAAAACATCCTGGAAAGGCAGCAGGCTCACCCTGAGCGCCATTTCTTCAGGAAAGACAAACTGATTGCCAAAACTCCGAGCTGGGTCCCTGCTTCACAGACTGCTTTCTAGTGCCCAGTTGGACAAACACTAAAACTCCCGTCTCCCCTCCGGATGTGCCGGCATCAGGAGCGCCCTTCACACGCGTGTCTGGGCACGGGATTTCCTTCCAGGGGAGACCAGGATGAGAAGAGCTGATGTCCTAAGCTGCTCCTCTGACAATGGCAGGTTCTCCCACCGCTCTGTCTCCTGCCTGGGTGGCGTTTGCCCCTCTCCCGGGGTGAGCCAGCTCCTGCCCGGGGCTCAGCCGAAGGCACCGGCCGGGCCGAGCTGGGTTCACTCTTTGCTCACGCTGGTCTTGCAGGAATGTAGAACGGCCTTAAAGAGGAGAGGCAGCTGCTCCAGGGGGACATTCACCATTTTTCCTGGTAAGAAAAAAACCCAGAATTAGCCGCCACTCCTGAATCAGATTTCAGAGACACCTAAGCCAGCAACGCTGGAGATGGTTTTACCTTGAACCTCTCAGAGAAACAGTTAATCATCCCACTGCTACATTAGACATTTGATATTCATTTGGACACAACAGGATTTATTATTTACTGAATCGAAAGCTAAATAAATGGCCAAAGTCAGATCAAAATGATTTCTCCACAATGGAGCAGTATTTATAGAAACTGGGAAAGACTAAATCCTGTCTCTCCTCAAACTCCCTTGTTGATCTCGATGAGTAAATTACGAGAGCTACTCTGTGATTATTATCTAGTTCGTTACAGTGGAGTAGGATGAAGCGTACGGAGCCTTGACACAGGAGGCAAGTACCTCCCTTTGCCATAACATTCAGGAACAAACAATGTTTTAGTAACACCAGACCTTGTAGATCCAATTAGTGACACGGCGGCATTTGAAAGTTCACCTGCAGATTTCAGAGGTGCAGAGGAGGTGAGAGCCGGGGGTGACGCTGCAGAACTGCCCCCCACTCTGCTTATCCTCCTTAATCACACGGCATTTCAGGGATCTCTCTAATTCTTATGAGATAATTACTCAAACCAGCATTATACCCTTTTGAGACAAAATGCCTCCGAGATGGGATTGAAAGGAAGAAAATAAAATGGAACCTGACCAAAAAACTTAAAGGGCATGAGGTCAGAGCAAGGCAGGTGCCCCTGGGAGCAGGGACATACCGCCAGCGGCACAGGGACAACTGGGGGAGCCAGGGGTGAGAGGACATCAGCTTGAAGGTGGGGGAGAAGCTTCGACAGGAAAAGGTCCCTCACAAACATCCTCCACCAAAGTGAACGAGAATTTCACTGCTATAAATTCATTGTGTTTTAAAAGCAGATTTCATCATTTGCACGTGATCCCAGTGGGGGAAGAGCTCAACAAGTTACCTGCAATGTATCGTATCTCTGGCAAACACATCATTAAATCCGGGAAGCGGTTTGGCTGGTGTGGGTATTTGTACTCGGTGAAGTCCTGGCAGACGTACCAGTACCGCTTGTTCAGCTGCTCCAGCTGGGACGCGTTCGTCAGGCCCCTGATGTCTGAAAACGAGCACAATCAGAGTCATGAAAACATGAGGAAAACATCCTGGAAAGGCAGCAGGCTCACCCTGAGCGCCATTTCTTCAGGAAAGACAAACTGATTGCCAAAACTCCGAGCTGGGTCCCTGCTTCACAGACTGCTTTCTAGTGCCCAGTTGGACAAACACTAAAACTCCCGTCTCCCCTCCGGATGTGCCGGCATCAGGAGCGCCCTTCACACGCGTGTCTGGGCACGGGATTTCCTTCCAGGGGAGACCAGGATGAGAAGAGCTGATGTCCTAAGCTGCTCCTCTGCACTGCTCAGGGGATGCTCTTGGAGATAACGGCTCCAGCAGCCTTAAATCCCCGCCTGCCTGGGGTAAAGCAGCTTTATGTCAAGGTTTAGTCCTCATGGCGGACTCAGTGTAATGCTTCCTCAGACAGAAACATGTTGATTTTAGCTACATCATCTTGGCTGAGGGAAACGCTCAACTCTATAATTCAAGGTATCATATTTCTCCCCATCTGCTTATGAATTATGTCGTATGAGCTTTATAAACTTGTCAACTTCTTATTTTTAAATTTAGCTTTGCCAATGTCAGGCAGCACACACAAGGGAAAAATGGACATTTCCAAGCTCTGGAGCTGGCAGGAAGCCCCACTGCCACCGCTCGGCGTGATCAACGGCACCGGGACCCTGCTGGGGTCCGGGAGGGATCCAGCAGGACACAGCAAGGGAGCTGCGGACCCTTGGAGCAGGCTCCGTGCTGTAACACCATCTGACGGAAGAGGCATTTATCTACTGCCCAAAAGCTGACTTTTAAAAATAATTCTCAGGTATTTCACATAAAAAATTGCAAACTTCAACTAAAAATAAAAGAAGACAGGAAGTTAATGAAAATACATTTTGGAAAACAATGGAGACAGCTCGAGAAGCGCATTATCCAGTGTCAGGAAACTGCCCAGGGAAGCAAACCGGAACCTCAGCCCGGCGGAGATTGAAGCGTCAGCACTATCTGCTGAGGGGGGAGCAGGGAGCCCGCGGCACATTGCTACAGACTGCAACTATCTTTCACAGCACAAAAGACTCTGGGGACATTTATTTCCAAAATTACAGCTGAACGCCATCCATTAAGCGTTTGCCTCTCGGTTTTCTTCATTTACCACATGAAGAAAAGCCCCGCGAGGCCCCAGCACACGTGGGGAGAGGTGACCCCCGGGCAGTGGGCCTGGGGGAGCTGAGGTGGGGACGAGCACCACCCGAGGAACAAAGCCCATCTCTTCCAAACCATTCCAGTCGTTAGGAAAAAAAAACAGCTTTTTCTCACATGTTGAAGAATTACATGGACTTTGAAATGCCCAGGGTCTTGCAGCAGCCTGGGCTGCCAGCTTTAACACACTAATTAACAGGAGGAGACAGCCCCTTCTTAGTTAGAATTCATTGCTTCCACGTAGATACTTCATTTGTCATTACTTTTCACGTCACAGAGGTAGCATTAGGTATAGATTCTAAAAAGCAGGAAGCCAGCTAGGTGACTTAAGCGTATAATCTAAAGGTAAATATTGTAAAGAGTCAGAAAAACTCTAAAAAAAGGGTGACAACTGGTTTTACAAATTCACCCTTTCAAGCAGAAAAATGAACAAACACATTTTCTAGTTGGGAATCTTTGAAAGGTTGTAATGCAAATAGTCAACTAAAAAAAAAGTCATGCAAATTAACTGGTTTCAAAGTATCATTTAGTTAATTGCCTAAAGCAATTTTAGATGGCACATTTTTGTCTGAGGAAAAGTTTGCCAGCAGCTGGTAAGTCATCACTCACCCAAACCTTACCCAGAATGGTTTTACCTCTCTGCTCTGTTCTTACTGGGGTTTTGGTGCCCTTGGCACATGTGTAACACGACACATTTACTGTCCTTGATGCCTGTATTTAAAGGCAAGACAATCTGTCTAAGCAAATGAGTTAATTCACGTCCAGATTCTCCTCACGTGGGTCCCAAGTACCCGACTCCGCAGGGAGCACGTCGGCAAACGCAAGCAGAGGTCTCGGGGTCTCAGACCGTTCCTCCCATTTCTCGTCGGGGAGGCAAAGACTGCTCAGACTCTCCCACAGAACTTCTCAGTGGGGCCGGTCCCTTCTCTGCGCCCACTCACCTTGATTGAGGAAGTTGATGGCTTTCATACAGGCGTACTCCTCGTTGCTGACCTTCAACTGGTTAAATTTGCGAAAGAGGTAGATCAACCGCTCCATCACCTCCATCCCCTCTTCACTGAATCTGGAGGAGAGAGATCACACATCAAGGTGTACAGCACACAGTCCGTACAATGAAAGAATGAAGGTTATTTTAATAACTTCAGAGATGTTAATATCTTGCAAGAGAATTAAAAAAAATGTCATCAAAACTGTTTGAAGTCTGCTGGCGCCATTAATTTAAAGTAGAAGCAAGAAAGAAAATGACTCAGTTATGAACTTGACAGCTACAGATATTTGAGCAAAAAAACATTTCTTGGTGATTCAGTTCATCTCCAGCTTGATCTGACAGAGGAAAAGGTTTGACGGAGCCAGGAATATGCAAAAACATCTCATGTGCTTGTAGGCACACTGCTTTGCCTCTGTGCTTGCGTTCCCCCAGATTCCAATGAGGATTGAATTTGCCCTTTGCTGGGCTAACAGGAGGTTTAAGCAGTTTGGGGAATGAGATGAGATTTCACAGAAAGGTGGAGTGTCCTATAGGACACAAAAATATCCTGCAAAACCCCCGCTGTCCTGCCAGATGCAAGGAGCAGGGGGTATCCCCCCTCTGCCTGGTGCTTCGTCGCACCTATCACGATGAAGCAGCTCACAGCCACGTTACACACCACCGTGGTGCTCTCCTGAGGGACATTTTTGCGGGATAAAAGCCCCTCCAGCAGCCCTTGGAGTGCCTCCCTGTTCAGAAGACAAGCCATCCCCAGCAGCGTTTCACATGTCACCCCTCCCCACCTCACACCTTTCTCCAGCTTGTGCTTTCCACCACCCACAGCAGCCCAGGGGAACCTGCACTGCCCACCAGCAGAAGGTGGCTGTCCTTGGGGGTGTCCCCAGGAGCTGTGCAGCTGCCCACCCAGGGGAGCTGGGATCAGCTCGCTGCAGAGAACACGGGCTCTCCACAACACACACTCCCAACCCGACATCCAAACCGTTGGTTTTCAACAAACCCCTCCATTCTACGAAGCTGGTAAATCAAGGTAAGCCTTTGCCTGGAGACGCCACCCAATGCCCAGGCTCTGCACAGCACAGCACAGAGCAGCAGGAACCCAGACCCTGCCTCCCACAGAGGCCGTTTCCAACAGCTAAAGTGCCTACAGAACCGGCTGAAGTGCCATCTGTAGAGTCACAGCTTTGTTTTAAGGAGCGAGGCCCCAGGGTGACCCACGCAGCACGGTGGTGTCCGCTCCCGTTATCTGCCCGGCAGGTGCAGGAGCTCACCTCCCGAAAATTCCCCGAGTGACTCACAGCGACCCGCCGCTTCCACACGCCGTTATCGCCTCTTCGTTACGCTTTGTTAATTTTCCTTGGCTGAGAGCTCCTGGGGTGAGATGTGCTGCAGGAAGGCTGGGGTCCTTCTCACAGATACAAGTACTCATGAAGCCACAGAGAGCCAAGGCTAAAGGGAGCAGAGCTGCAGGTTGGGGTCTCGGGTTGAGTGGTGCTCTCTAAGGAACACACTTCGTTTCCTTCTAAACTTTCCCCCTCAAACGAAGTGCAGGATTCATTGCACTTAATTAATGCATATCAAGATCCAACCAGAACTGCACTGCTGCTCGCGTGGACTGTCAGGGATGCTCTGCTGGGGTCTGGATGCACCATCCACACCAGCCCTGGAGCATCCCACCAGGGACGGCCACGCTCGTTGCCAAATCTCTGCCCTTTGCCGAGAACAAGCTGCACGTTTCCCAAGGGTCCACGCTCACCAAGAGAAGCCAGAGCCAGAGCCGGGCAGGAGAGGGCACAGGGAGCGTAAACCTCCCCAGCATCCCCTGGGAAATGGCCTGATGGAGATTTTGTGGGTGCAGAAGGAGGTCGTGCTGCTCAGGGGGGTGCCAGGCTGTTTCCTCACCAGTGACACCTGGTGTGGGCACCACCAAAGAGCCACAGCGTCAGCAACGGGCAGCAGTGGAGCTGGAGGGCACGGGGGGCTGCCAGTGCCCATGGGCACACTCTGGGACCATCCCACGCATGCCAACAGCCAGAGCGGCCTCTCAGGAACACATCTCACAGCAACACCCCCAGTTTCAAAGAAACCACACATTGCAAAAACGCTCAGAAGTGGGACAGAAGTGTTTAGGGACGCTTCAGCTGCGCTCTGGCATTGTGCAGCGCAAAGAATAAGAGCACAGCCAGAAAGCCATCTTTGAATAGAACAAAAATAGAACCTTTTCCACTGAATAATACCTTATTTTGGCATGTGTGTTTGTTTACTTCAAAGTTATTTGTAAAATGCATGGTGGAGTTTGACCCCAGAGAAGTGAAAACAAGCTATCTGAACTCCAGGTCACTTCTTCAAGAAAGTAATATTGTCAGCGATGAAAGCCTCGTCGGCTAATCTAAAGTTGTACAAGTTTTCTTGCTCTCAAGTTGACATTAAAAATCTTGCAGGTGCAAGATTGCAAAGCTCAAGAAGTTAATGAGCACAAAGACCACTCAGTCGTCTGTTGGGCTTAATTGTTTTTAGAGCATGCACATTTTTACCAGCCACTCATCACTTCATAAATCCAGGAGAGCTCTTCTCTCATTCCTGCAGTTGAACTGTCTTACTTTCCCCGGCATGCTTTCCTCCCCCTTTCCAACAAAGCTGTTCTGTTTTTCACAGCCCTATTTCTTCTCGAGGACCAACTCCTCCACACACTTTTCCTTCCAGTTTACACCAGGCAAGTTTCTGGCTGGGAGTTATCGGGATCAGCTGGGGAGGAGGGGGAGGGAAGCGCTATCAGGAGTGCTGGGGGAGGTCAGGAATCTATTCATTTCATATTCATCTCCAGAAAAACAGCACAATAAAAGAAAACATTTGATCTAGCAGGCAAACAGAACGTTTAGCCAGTTGTTAGAAGTGATTAAAATGCAGGGGCTGGGGAGCTCATCCTATGGCTTTGTTCCTCCTGTACCCAAGCATCGGCATCGCTCCTGTCATTTTACAAACTCGGAACAGGAATTAACCCAAAGTGCCAACCACCACAGCGCAGGGGGTGTCTTCAACCAGCTGAGAGACCTAACGCCCTTTGGTTTGCAGTCATTACTGATCAACACCAGAGGAAACAGGGGCTCCTTGAGAATGCCCCGAGTTGGACACCGCTCCACAGGAGCCCCTCGCAAATCCAAAGGGACCAGCTTTTCCGTGTGTGCATGGGGCAGGGGGAGTGACACCCCCCGAGCACCCCCCTGCCCCTGCAGACAGACACACTACAGGGAGGGAGGGACCCACGCAGCTCGAGACCCCTCACCTGGGCAACTTCCCGCTAAATGGCTTTTTTGGTGTGCATTTTCCTGTGTTACTAATGACAATTAATGACACTTGAACAGCTAAATCAGAAGAAGAGCCCGCAGAAACATTCCACTCCCAAGAACATCTATTCTCATCCAACACAGATCTTCTCTGAAGGACCTTCGAGGCGACCAGCTCTGAATTGCTGGTTTCTGAAGGGTGAGGATTCCTCCTTTGTCTTGTTGTCTTACCTCTCGCTTGTATTTATCACAAACCCAAAATGAAACAAACACTTCTCTTTTGAGGCTCTGACCAGGACAGCAGGAACAAAAGGATGGCTGAATGCAGAACAAGTGTTCTTGTGGTTTTCTATGACCCTCGCTGTTCCTGGCAGGAGCAGCACCAGATGCACGATGAATGGCCGGGCAGAACATCTCCATGGAGGAACCTGCCCCAGGAAATGAGACACCTGGGGCCAGCTCTCGGCTCCTCCGCCCTGACCTCAGCCAGCCCCTCCGGGTGGCAAAAGAGATGCACAAAGGAACCTCAAGGAACCGTTAGATGCTGTGATGGCAGAGGACCACAGCAGAATTTTACATCTCTACTTATCCAACACTTGGACCCCCTGGTGACTCCCGCACCACTGCCAAGCCCAGCAAGGCAACTGTTATAAAGGAAGGTGGGCAGCAGTTTCTGTAAATCCTAAGTATTCTGCCATAATATTGAGAGATTGTGAGTCTGCTACCAAAAGGAGGATCTGTCTGGTACCAAGACCACAAAACAAAACACTCAAACCAGAAAAACACCACCCTGACCAAAATGATAAATGAAAGGCAGGTTCCTCAGAGCATCAGATAGTACGTACCATGGAAAAAACACGAGCTAAGTTGCAACATCTTTAAATTTATGTAATCAAAACAATGAAATAGCAATTAATAATGACCACTTTGATAATACAGACAACCAGCTTTGTGAACAGCCTTTCCACTGGCCCAAAGGGTTTTTAAAAATAAGACCTTCCGTCCTGTATTTCAGGGTTACCCAAAGTGCTGGTTAGTTTTACCCTCCCTGTAAAAAAGGGGGTTTGTAGAACTGTGCTGGAGGAGGGCAGCATTGCTACGGGAACTTCACACAGCACCACAGCACAACACACACCTTCCCCTGCGGAGGGGAGCTTTGGGTTCAACACTGACTAACCATGGGGTACTTTCTAAGCCTGGAGCATCCATTTCCCTAAAAACCAGAAAAGGAGAACAGCGGTGGGTGAAGTGACCCACCCCAGAAGAGGTGGTGAGCCGGTCACAGGGCCAGAAATGGCACCAGAAATGGCACATGCCAGGATGGCACCCAACACCCTCCTCCCACTGGCTCCTCCATCTCCAGATCTCGCTCCCGTTCCGCAGGCTCAGCCCAATCTCTCACCTGTGCAGCTCGTCGTCAGAGGGAGAGTACTTGGAGGTGACGTCCGCGAGGTCACCAAAGATCTGCTTGCTGTAAACAGTCAGCGAGGAGAGCAGGATGAGCTCCTGCCACGTAGAGCTGAGCAGGCAGGTATAGTCCTTGATGGAGAGCTCGCAGAAGAACGGCAGCTTCTTGATCCAAGCAATCTGCCTGAAAAGCAATTCATCCGCCAGACGACACAACAACGCAAACAGCTCTGCCTGAGTCACTTTGTACCTGCAGGCACAGTCAATATGAAGGCATAAAAACAATTAACAACACGGAATGACATCATCTGACGAGGCACTTGAAAAGCAAGGCAAATGTCACAGAAATTCAGGTTCAAGTGCTGGTGCCCAGGGTGTCACCTGGCGTTGGGAGCCACCATGGCCATCATCCAGCGTGCCCGGCCGGGGGGTGCAAGGGGAGCCCCCAACCCCCAGGCTCACCCACCCGTCCATCACCCAGCCCCCTGGGCATGGGGCAGCCCTGCAGCTCTTGCCAACAGATTGACTACCCAGCTTTTTTCTACCTGTGTGTATTTTTCCAGCTACTGCCCTTATTACCAGGCTTTCTGTACAGTTAATGCAGCCTCAGGGCTGAAAGCCACCAAACCCCACTCCCACCCAAGGGCAGAGACCACCCACGGCACGTGGTCTGGTTTGCCGCTTGCGCTGCAGCTGCATCTTCTCCCAGGGGAGATGCTCCCCGTGGCCATCGGGCCACCGAGGCAGGTACCCAGCTCCCCCCTGGCCCTCAGCAGCCTCCGCCGCAGGAGCTGGAGCCGCGGGTGCAGGCAGGGACGGGCAGACCCAAGGGAGAGCCAGGAACATCCCCGGGCAGCCACTGGCACCACTCACCCGTCCTCAATGAGCATCGGCGTGCCCAGCGGCTCCAGGTCCTCTGCAGACACCAGCTGATTGATGAGACTGTGCGACTGGGGGTCCAGGCTGCGCGTCTGGGGGGGCATCAGAGCCGAGTGGGCAGAGTAGCTAAAAAGGTGCGGGAGGTACTGATAGTGCGTGGACACCGGCGTCCCGATGTACTGATCCCTGAGTGCAGCAAACCCATTCAGCTCCACGGACCTACTGGAAAAGGAAAAGCTTTTTAATATACCCCCAAAATTCCACCCGATTAATTAAATTCCTGCATCCAGCTCCATCGGAAGCATTAATAAAGTACAGAGGGGACAAAACAGAATGGAAAATGCCTTTGCCTACACTGGAAATAACTGGGACTGTGCAGAGCAGACACCTTTCCCCCTTCCCCGTTGAGATGTGGGAACTGCTGCCCAGCAGCCATTCAGAGAGTCAAATCAAAAACCCAACTGTACAAAGCATTTCCAGCCCAGCTTCCTTAAAGGGACAGAATTTAGAACTGTAAATTAAGTATTTACACAGCCAGAGAACACAAACACCTCCTGGCTTAAGATGCAGCTGAAAGCAGACAGGATGGAGTCAGATTCTCACCGTGTTTACAATCAAAGGCTGCATCAGGAGGCTGGCAGTAACAGTAACTGACATTAACATAACACCATCAATTAGTAACCTAAATAGAGTCATTTATTTTCAAAATCTGAGCACAGTGCAGAAAAAGAGCTTATGCAGAATGAGCAGTGAAAGGTAATTGAGTTCCCATGATCTGCAGAAAAAAAACATCAATACAAATGAAGAGATATATTTTAAATACAATTTTAACTCAACATTGCCTTCTTTTTCATTTGCTGATGAGCATTTCGCCTCCCGGTTCAATTCTCTTCCATCCCGTGGCTGTCTGTTTCAAAACCCAATTAGAGATGTCAGACTCCACAGGATGCTCAGTTTAAGCAAAGCTGCACTCAAGGTGCACTTCTCCTACACTGACCCAAGTGTCAAAAGCCCCCGCTCAGGGAGGGACAGACAAGAGCACGGCAACGCAGAATTCCTCCAGGGGTCATTCCCACCTTGAAGACGGAGTAGAAACGGGTGAAGGCTGGTTGCTCTCAGAAACTCCATTTCCAGGGGAACTATGGTCACTGTCTCCGTTGTTGCTCCATGACATGTTCGCCTCTCCCTCAAATTCTTGCCCAGACATAATTCTCTCAATCTCTTCCTCTGATATCTGTCAAAGACAGGAGCGTTACTGTTACTGCAGCTGAGAACAGGAGGAAGGCAGAGCCTCGGCCCGTGACCACCCTGGCTGTAGGGCCACGTCCAGCGGAGCTGAAGCCACCCCCCAGGAGGAGGAAGGTGTCCCTGCTCCCACAGGTATCACACCTTCCCTTTCCATCGAACAGCAAACATGAAAAATTCTGTTCCCAGCTCATCGTGGTGGCCTCCAGCGCCTGCAGCACAATTCAAGTGAGGGTAACGGAGCAGGCAGGACCCGACACACGAGAAGATGATGTCAAATACACACAGCCAGGAGCCGTAAATCAGCCTCTGTCACACAGTGAAAAACCTGGGAGTAATTGAGGCCAGTTCATCGGGAACATCACTCAGGACCCGGGGGAGGTAAAGGCAAATGGGAGGTGTAGTTGGGTCTGGTTTGATAAAGCAACTGAGAGAGGTAAGGTGACACATACAAAATTAGACAGAAAAATGTCCACAGGGAATCACTGTTCTCTATTCTTCCCCAGGTAAGAACTAGATGGCACCTAAAGAAGTAATCAAGCATCTGATACTTAAAACAAGTATTAGGGAATAATGTATATGAAGTTAAAATGGACTAAAAAAAAAAATTTTTAAGATGGAGCTCCCTTAAGTACAGAGTTTCAAGAAGGAGCTGGGTATGCTCCTGGAGAAATCTTGCATCCATAGTGGGGGAAATACAACAGAAAACTTTCTGGGCTTTTTTTTTTTTTCCTCAGTTGTACACATGTCCCTTAGTGGGGACACACGTACAGCCACGGCTGCACTGCTCAGAGGTACAGACTATTGCCCGGCCAGAAATTAAATGTTTCTTCTTCCTCGATAGGCAGGCTTTGAGAATCAGTACCCAGTGCTGTTATAAACACCATGTTTGCAAACAGCAGGAAGTGTTCTATGGTGACCAGGAGGTGTTACTGTTTGGGGCAGGCGACAGGCACGGCCACGCTGCCCAATTCCTGCCTCTTCCTCCCTTCCCTACGGAGGACCCTGCTGGGAGAACGGGGCATCTGGCTGCTGGGCACAGCCAGCCACAGAAAACGCTTCCAGTGTTATTTCTATTTTATTAAAATAAATAGTAAACTTTTAAAAGACCTCTTTTCCAGAAGTGAGCTGAAAACAGCCATCATTTCTCAGGCACGCAGAAGAAGCCGTTGTGCTGAATGACCTCCCACTTTACACACGTCTCCAGACAAGCTGTGCCATCCATCAGCTGGACATTTACTGGGTGCTCACGGAAGGACCCGCAGCCGCCAGATTTACTGGGCGCTGCCGAGGGACGGTCGTCCTTGTGCTGCTCACAACAGTGCCACGAGGGCCAGGGACGGCCCCGGCACTCACACCGGGACCCGTGGCCCCTCGGGGACAGACAAGCACCCGGCTTTATTTACAAATCTACTGCTCCTGAGCTGTGTTTCTAACACTTGTGCAGAGCCAAAGCCCCGCGCCGCCAGCAGAAGGCCCAGGCTTTGGGAAAGGCTGGGTCAAAGGGACCCCGTGGCCACCCCAGCCCAGCACCCCCAGGTGTGTGCCGAGGCCACAGAGCGATGGCTGGGGGGACCCGGGGGGACACGGTGGGACGTGCTCACCTGGACAGGTCCGATGCTTTTGTTTCTGCCTCCCGGCATGCCATCCTCTCTGATTGCTGGAAGAGAACAGCCAAGCCTTGGTGAGGAACTGTTCAGTACCACCGTTCAGCAGCCCAGAAATACATAAGTAGGTACCTACTATTTTGAAAAAAATCTTTTTATCTGAAAAGATTCATTTAGTTCATCAAAGCAGTTTACACAAAACCCTCCAATGCTTTCCAGGACCCTGGGAAGCTCAACCAGTACCCACCATCATCCCCAGCCCCAAGGGCACAAACACATCACTGGGGCTCCGAGCATCACTCCGGGAGCTCAGCATTTCTTCCCCTGATCCCTGAGCAACAGGTAATGAAGGAAGAGCACTCCTGGATCCCAGCTGATTCCAGGACAATTTGAGAGGCGGCACACAGGAAGCAAACCCACTTCCCCCCCAGAAGTGAGTACCCACCACTGCTAGAGAATGGCAGGCAAACGCTGGCCTTTCTACCTGCACCACAGGCAGCCCCGACCCACCGCGAGCCAGACACCCCCAGAGAGACACCCCCAGAGAGACACCCCCAGAGAGACACCCCCAGAGCCAGCACTGCCGACAGAGCCCTTCTCGGGGGGCTGCCCGCGCTGTGGCTGCTCCAGCGGGGCTGGGTTTGCTCCAGCTCCCAGGGGAAATGGCGGGAGACGCTCGGCCCAGCCGGTCAGAGCCGCCCTTTAACGCTGGAGTTCCAGCCCCAGCCATGCAGCCCCGTTTGGGAAGCACAGCCAGGTTTCTCAATACAGCAGCTGCCGTTATAAGGCTCTTTAAACATCTTCCAGAGAGCTTCAGGGAAGTCCAATTAAGGGGATTATCCTGGAGCTGCTTCTCTACCTCCCTCTTCCCTCTGCTTTTGCCTTGACCAGCAGAGCAGCTCGGCGGGGCCCGGCTTGCTGGGGGACCAGCCCCGCTCCTCGCGCGCCTCCTCTCCCGGGCCGGGTCCCCCCGGTTATCGGGTCCCGATCTCTTTCCCACCGCGACCCGGCCGCACTTGGCAGCGGGTTCTCCCCAGCTGCGCCGTGACCTTGCTGCTGCCGGCCTGGCCTCACCCTGCTCCGCTGCTGCCAGCCCTCCCGAAATGCAGTGACACTAAATTTAGGGGAAAAAAATCTGTAGCAGAAAAGCCACGCTGCTGCCTGAGCTCAGAGACCCTCAGCTCAGACACCCCCGTCTCCGTGGATGCACTGGCATCGTGGGGCTCAGCCCCGGCACGGCAGAGCACACACACTCCAGCAGAAACTGCATTTTTTGAGCTGTTACCAACGAGTCAAACCAGGCAAAAATCACCACAAAGAACCCGTCCTGAGGATTTCCAGCTCTCCAGCCGGTGAGCAGCAGCACAGCCATCCCCGGGGCAGCTCACCACGCGTTAGGAGCTCAGCCACACGGCGTTAATCCTCCCAATGCAAAGCCACCACCTCCACAGCACAGCAAGTATTTTTATTTGAAGCGCCAGGCAGCATCCGTGTGATGGAAGAACCTCCAACACAGGATATAAAACCGTAATGGTTATCTTTTATGTCATCTTTTATGTCATAGTCACAGAACAGTTAAGAGTTGGAAGGGACCTTAAAGATCATCAAGTTCCAACCCCCTGCCCTGGGCAGGGACACCTCCCACCACACCAGGTTGCTCCAAGCCCCATCCAGCCTGGCCTTGAACCCCTCCAGGGATGGGGCAGCCACAGCTTCTCTGGGCAACCTGGGCCAGTGTCTCACCACCCACACACCAAAGAAGTTCTGTCTGGTATCTAATCTAAATCTCCCCTCTTCAATTTAAAACCATTCCCCCTTGTCCTGTCACTGCACTCCCTGACAAAGAGTCCCTCCCCAGCTCTCCTGTAGCCCCTTCAGATCTTGGGAGGCTGCTCTAAGGTCTCCCTGGATCCTTCTCTTCTCCAGGCTGAACAACCCCAGCTCTCTCAGCCTGTCCTCACAGGGGAGGTGCTCCAGCCCTCTGAGCATCTTTGTGGCCCTCCACTGGAGGTGACATTATTTCAGATACAGCAAGACAACAAACTCATTTCAGCAAACAAGGCTGCTTATTTTTTTATGAGAGTTCTTTCCCAAAAAAATATTAGTTTCTCATTAAAAACCAGTGCTGGTTTGGGGGGGTTACTCCTCCCCAGGGACAGCACCCTACACTCGCCCTTGGTGGAACTTCATCAGGTTCCTCCCCACCCAGCTCTGCAGCTTGTCCCTGTGTTTTTGCCACATTAGTATATTGAAGCATAGAAATAGTGATTTTCAGGATAAATGCAAGGACAGATCTGCCAGGAAGGACCGTAACAAACTCTTACCTTCCATGAAAACAGGGACCACAAGGATCAGTTCTCCAAATATTTATAGGTGCTTTCAATTCATAGAGATTTTTCCCCCAATGAAGTCAAAAAAAGTAGCTCGGTAAGACTTTTCTACCCACGCATAATTTTGCTGAATTTACACTTTTTCTCGGGACGGGGCTGCACGACAGTCAACGCCACCCCAAAGCTGGGGTTTTTTTCTCCCCCACCTCAAATCCCACAACTCTGCGCCTTACCCCAATTTAACAAAACCGGGATTCAAAAAATAACTATTTTTTTGACCTAGTTAAATAACTCAGCAGCTCAATTCTGCCCTAAGTGGGGGCTCAGTGGCTCCCCAAAATGCCCGGGGCGGGGGGCAGGGGTCCTCCCGGGGTAGGGGGGGAGGCAGTGCCGGTACCGGTGGGGACCCACGGGGGCCGCCAGGTGGCGCTGTGACCCCGCGGGTGAGCCACGCGCCGTCCCGCCACCGGGGCGCGCGCTCTCCCGCCACCGGAGCGCGCTTTTGCGAGCCCTTTTCCCGGCTCTTTCCCGGTCCTCGCCCACCCGCTCCCCCCGCGCCGGTCCCGCGGGTGGGCGAGGACCGGGAAAGAGCCGGGAAAAGGGCTCGCAGAACCACTCCAAAAATGTCCCTAATTTGCCCCAAATTGATGCCACCCCGGTGACAACAGCGCAGGTGGCACCGCAGGCATCCCCCAAAAGAATAAAAATTAGCCTGGTCAGCCCGGAGTACAGCCTTGGGTGTAAAAAGATCCTGGGGAACCCAGCCCATCCCAATAAACCTCCCAGAAAGAATCTGTAAATCACAGCAGCCGCCTGAGAAGGTTCCCAATCCCATTCCCCGAAATAAGGGTTTCTAAAGGAAAATCCTGACGGATTTGCGGTAGATTTATGGAAGTTTTAGTGCTTCTGACAGGCGGTTTTTGGATGAGCGATGACACTAACGGCATTGATAGCTGCATTTAAAAAAAAAACAAACCATGAGATGATGCTTTGGTTTGGTGGCCAGGCAGGGTCCTCACCACCAACTCCTGCCTGCTGCCATTAAACCAAGAAATCATAGAATGGAGTTGGAAGGGACCTCAAAGATGGGGCCTCAAAGATGGGGCCTCAAAGATCATCAAGTTCCAACCCCCTGCCCTGGGCAGGGACACCTCCCACCAGACCAGGTTGCTCCAAGCCCCCTCCAACCTGGCCTTGAACCCCTCCAGGGATGGGGCAGCCACAGCTTCTCTGGGCAACCTGGGCCAGTGTCTCACCACCCACACACCAAAGAAGTTCTGTCTGGTATCTAATCTAAATCTCCCCTCTTCAATTTAAAACCATTCCCCCTTGTCCTGTCACTGCACTCCCTGACAAAGAGTCCCTCCCCAGCTCTCCTGTAGCCCCTTCAGATCTTGGGAGGCTGCTCTAAGGTCTCCCTGGATCCTTCTCTTCTCCAGGCTGAACAACCCCAGCTCTCTCAGCCTGTCCTCACAGGGGAGGTGCTCCAGCCCTCTGAGCATCTTTGTGGCCCTCCACTGGAGGTGACATTATTTCAGATACAGCAAGACAACAAACTCATTTCAGCAAACAAGGCTGCTTATTTTTTTATGAGAGTTCTTTCCCAAAAAAATATTAGTTTCTCATTAAAAACCAGTGCTGGTTTGGGGGGGTTACTCCTCCCCAGGGACAGCACCCTACACTCGCCCTTGGTGGAACTTCATCAGGTTCCTCCCCACCCAGCTCTGCAGCTTGTCCCTGTGTTTTTGCCACATTAGTATATTGAAGCATAGAAATAGTGATTTTCAGGATAAATGCAAGGACAGATCTGCCAGGAAGGACCGTAACAAACTCTTACCTTCCATGAAAACAGGGACCACAAGGATCAGTTCTCCAAATATTTATAGGTGCTTTCAATTCATAGAGATTTTTCCCCCAATGAAGTCAAAAAAAGTAGCTCGGTAAGACTTTTCTACCCACGCATAATTTTGCTGAATTTACACTTTTTCTCGGGACGGGGCTGCACGACAGTCAACGCCACCCCAAAGCTGGGGTTTTTTTCTCCCCCACCTCAAATCCCACAACTCTGCGCCTTACCCCAATTTAACAAAACCGGGATTCAAAAAATAACTATTTTTTTGACCTAGTTAAATAACTCAGCAGCTCAATTCTGCCCTAAGTGGGGGCTCAGTGGCTCCCCAAAATGCCCGGGGCGGGGGGCAGGGGTCCTCCCGGGGTAGGGGGGGAGGCAGTGCCGGTACCGGTGGGGACCCACGGGGGCCGCCAGGTGGCGCTGTGACCCCGCGGGTGAGCCACGCGCCGTCCCGCCACCGGGGCGCGCGCTCTCCCGCCACCGGAGCGCGCTTTTGCGAGCCCTTTTCCCGGCTCTTTCCCGGTCCTCGCCCACCCGCTCCCCCCGCGCCGGTCCCGCGGGTGGGCGAGGACCGGGAAAGAGCCGGGAAAAGGGCTCGCAGAACCGCGCTCCGGTGGCGGGAGAGCGCGCGCCCCGGTGGCGGGACGGCGCGTGGCTCACCCGCGGGGTCACAGCGCCACCTGGCGGCCCCCGTGGGTCCCCACCACCCCGGTGACAACAGCGCAGGTGGCACCGCAGGCATCCCCCAAAAGAATAAAAATTAGCCTGGTCAGCCCGGAGTACAGCCTTGGGTGTAAAAAGATCCTGGGGAACCCAGCCCATCCCAATAAACCTCCCAGAAAGAATCTGTAAATCACAGCAGCCGCCTGAGAAGGTTCCCAATCCCATTCCCCGAAATAAGGGTTTCTAAAGGAAAATCCTGACGGATTTGCGGTAGATTTATGGAAGTTTTAGTGCTTCTGACAGGCGGTTTTTGGATGAGCGATGACACTAACGGCATTGATAGCTGCATTTAAAAAAAAAACAAACCATGAGATGATGCTTTGGTTTGGTGGCCAGGCAGGGTCCTCACCACCAACTCCTGCCTGCTGCCATTAAACCAAGAAATCATAGAATGGAGTTGGAAGGGACCTCAAAGATGGGGCCTCAAAGATGGGGCCTCAAAGATGGGGCCTCAAAGATCATCAAGTTCCAACCCCCTTTCCATGGGCAGGGACACCTCCCACCAGACCAGGTTGCTCCAAGCCCCCTCCAACCTGGCCTTGAACCCCTCCAGGGATGGGGCAGCCACAGCTTCTCTGGCCAACCTGGGCCAGGCTCTCACCACCCTCACAGGAAAGAAGTTCTTCCTAATATCTAATCTAAATCTCCCCTCTTCCAATTTAAAACCGTTCCCCCTTGTCCTGTCACTGCACTTCCTGACAAAAAGTCAAAATCTCTGCTTTTAACAGGCAACAATATTCCCAGAGATGAAAAAGCCAAAAGATAGGAGCGAAGAGCAGAGATGTGGCACCGAAATAAATCCCACTCTATTTTTTATTATTCATTTGTGAGCTACCTATGATTTTCCATCCTGAAGATGACAGCGTAGCATTTCATCACCCCTGCACACGTGGGGACCAAGGGGTGCCTGTCCCTAACCCAGGTCACACTTGTCTCCTCAGGGACCTCCTCCCTGGCAAAACTACCTCTGGATTCCCCAGTTCCCCACGGCGCTGCCAGGAGCCAGCATCGTCACCCGGAGCCGGGCACTAAGGGAGGACCCTCACACCCACCTGCTGGTTAAACTCCCACAACAACAATCGGGAACAGTCTGACTCGGAGCTCCTGGAACTCCAGAAGTCTATTGAAATACATGCCATTTTGCCACATTAGTATATTGAAGCATGGAAATAGTGATTTTCAGGATAAATGCAAGGACAGATCTGCCAGGAAGGACCGTAACAAACTCTTACCCTCCCTGAAGACAGGGATCACAAGGATCAGTTCTCCAAATATTTATAGGTGCTGTCAATTATTCATAGAGATTTTTCCCCCCACTAAAGTAACAAAGTAGCTCAGGAAGAATTTTCTATCCATGCATGATTTTTGTGAAGTTCCACCTTTTCTCATCAGGGCTTGGGGAGGCAGAACTGCAGGACGATGCAGCAGCTGAGGACGGGCAGCCCATGCTGGTGGCACCACCCCCAGCCTGCACCCCCGCCGCCGAACACCCCACTTTTCCTTACCTTTCCTGTTCATGCCCATCTGGAGGCACTTGAGCAGGCGGCAGTACTGGCACCGGTTGCGCTGTTTGCGGGACATGACGCAGTTCTTGTCGCGGCTGCATCTGTAGACCCGCTTGTTGCAGATGCTCCGCTTGAAGAAGCCCTTGCAGCCCTCGCAGGAGATGATCCCATAGTGCAGCCCCGTGGCTCTGTCCCCGCAGATCAGGCAGGTTCGCTGATCCACCCGCTCATCTGCCAGAGAGGAGAAAGGCTCTGAGGTCAAGGGAACGGCTTCACCGAGCCATCAGGAGGGGACTGGGAACACACCGGCACACTGTGGCCCGGACAGATGGACATGGCACAGGCCCCACTGCTGACACAGCTCAGCTGGAGATGCCACCAGCACGGGGCTCCTCACCCCTTGGCCGGCAGAGCACGGTGTGCCACACCAGAGCTCCAAACCTGCCACAAACCCAGCTCCACAACCACCAATAAAGTCATTTCAATTCAGCATATTCACAGGAGATCAAGTCCAGAAATTCTTGACAGCAGCAGGGAGAGTGAGGAGAAGTAAAACCCAAGTTTTTGCTTGGAAACCAGCCTCTTGGAAATGCCCCACGTCACACCATTTATCAGAAGTGGAAGGAAACGGTGAAGGAAAATGGTTGAGAAGGTGAATAACGAGAGGCGGGGAGAGGGCAGCCAGAGAAGGGACAGAGACAGACAGGCCTGGTCAGAAAATCAATGAGACAGTATAAGGAAGAGAAAGAATTAAAAAAAAATGACTTGAAGAGCAAGGAGGAAAAGAAGAGCACAAATTCAAACCCAAGAAACCATCTGACATGATTACTCTAAAAAAGACAGCCCAGCCCCAGCAGGACGGGAGGAGGAAGGGGGAGCACCAGGGGCGTCAATTATTCATAGAGATTTTTCCCCCCACTAAAGTAACAAAGTAGCTCAGGAAGAATTTTCTATCCATGCATGATTTTTGTGAAGTTCCACCTTTTCTCATCAGGGCTTGGGGAGGCAGAACTGCAGGACGATGCAGCAGCTGAGGACGGGCAGCCCATGCTGGTGGCACCACCCCCAGCCTGCACCCCCGCCGCCGAACACCCCACTTTTCCTTACCTTTCCTGTTCATGCCCATCTGGAGGCACTTGAGCAGGCGGCAGTACTGGCACCGGTTGCGCTGTTTGCGGGACATGACGCAGTTCTTGTCGCGGCTGCATCTGTAGACCCGCTTGTTGCAGATGCTCCGCTTGAAGAAGCCCTTGCAGCCCTCGCAGGAGATGATCCCATAGTGCAGCCCCGTGGCTCTGTCCCCGCAGATCAGGCAGGTTCGCTGATCCACCCGCTCATCTGCCAGAGAGGAGAAAGGCTCTGAGGTCAAGGGAACGGCTTCACCGAGCCATCAGGAGGGGACTGGGAACACACCGGCACACTGTGGCCCGGACAGATGGACATGGCACAGGCCCCACTGCTGACACAGCTCAGCTGGAGATGCCACCAGCACGGGGCTCCTCACCCCTTGGCCGGCAGAGCACGGTGTGCCACACCAGAGCTCCAAACCTGCCACAAACCCAGCTCCACAACCACCAATAAAGTCATTTCAATTCAGCATATTCACAGGAGATCAAGTCCAGAAATTCTTGACAGCAGCAGGGAGAGTGAGGAGAAGTAAAACCCAAGTTTTTGCTTGGAAACCAGCCTCTTGGAAATGCCCCACGTCACACCATTTATCAGAAGTGGAAGGAAACGGTGAAGGAAAATGGTTGAGAAGGTGAATAACGAGAGGCGGGGAGAGGGCAGCCAGAGAAGGGACAGAGACAGACAGGCCTGGTCAGAAAATCAATGAGACAGTATAAGGAAGAGAAAGAATTAAAAAAAAATGACTTGAAGAGCAAGGAGGAAAAGAAGAGCACAAATTCAAACCCAAGAAACCATCTGACATGATTACTCTAAAAAAGACAGCCCAGCCCCAGCAGGACGGGAGGAGGAAGGGGGAGCACCAGGGGCTGGCGTGGGAGGGGGCAGTGGGTGACACTGCCACAAGTCACCCAAAATCCAGACTAAACAGTGCACGAAAATGCCTTTTTTCTTGTTCCCATTTTGTATCATTCAGGGAAATGGTAGAGACCTCAGAAAACCCCCACCTTAGGAGGGCCAAGTTGGGGGATGATGAGCTGGTTCCAACTCACCCCAGTAAGACAACACTGAGCCTGGTTTTCATCACTCAGACTTGACCAGGGAGTCTTCCGAGACAAAGGTGTCCTTATCTGCAGGACTTAGTCACAGTGAAGTCCCCTCCAATCTTGATAAAGCCTAAGCAGCCCGACAAACCAGCGTGTAGCCTCCTACTACTGGGGGACACGTGAACACGCTGGAAATAGGGAGCCAAACAGATTAGGATCAGAAACAAAACCTGTTTTCAGTTACACAAACCAGGCAAAAAATCTAAACCAGCTGCTGGTACTGGTGAGCAGCTCTCTCCACGGTTTAAACCCAGTGCAAACCACAACCACAACCAGTCTGAACTAATCTTTAAAAGTTTGCTAATGCAGAGAAGCCCAAATGCTCAAGCTGTGCGAGTTTCATTGCAATTCTTATAAAACCTTTAAAATAAAGGGACGAATGAAGGAAACGCAAACTTTTACTGAAGAAACGTTCACGGTGTCATCGCTGCCCTAAAACATTCCCAGTTTTACAGGACAGACAAGCTCAGGTATGTGCTCAGCACAGCCCCGCAGGAATGCTGGCACCCACCCGGCCAGGGCTATCTGGGCATCTCGCCCAGGGGAGGCCACTAAACATGACTTTGTAGTGGCCAATTGCATAATCTCCACCTTCAGCCATCTGATAAGGCCGGGAGGGGCCGGGGATTAGCCCGGGACAGAGGAGTCCTCTATCTGCAGGGCTGAGCTCCACCTCAGCCCCCCCTGGCCCCCCCGGCAGGGCCATAAATCGCGGGGGGATCCCGAGGTCAGCAGCGGTGGCCGCGTTTGCCGCCGGGGAGGAACTGGGGAGCTGGGAAAGGACGGGTTTATACACATGGCACCGGGTAGAGGGGGAGGTGGTGGGTTGTAGCAGCATCCCCCCCATCCACAGGGATGCCGGGATCCCTCCTCACCCCAGCACTCCGACAGCCCCGGGTGGAAATGAGGGCTCATTTCCAGGCGCAGCTGGTTTTGTTGCAGGAAGAATAGGGCCGCCGTGGCCCAGCGAAGCCGGGGTGATGAAAGGGAGGAGGAATCGGGATCCTTCCCTCGCCGTCCCCATCTCCCCGCGAGCAGGGTGACATGAGGTGGTGTGAATGGCCCCATCACCACAATAACCACACAGGCCCCTGCAGAAGCTGTTAATTGGGTGCGTTTCCAGAGGAGAATTTGCCGCAGAAGAGCAGCACGAACCGGGAACAAAGGCCCAGACCTCCAGGGACCAGAGAGGTGCCCGTACACCCCGCAAACTGCTGCTCAAACAAGCCTGGGAGACAAAAAATAATTACCTACAGAAATTCTTAGGGTTTCAGAGGTTTAAAGAAACCCTGTAGGAGCCGTGCCCAGGCCCAGGACGCTCCCCCTGCGGCCCAGGGCTCTGCCTGCTCCTGACCTTTGCTATTTTTCACCCTACTTAATGCAAGCGCCTTGTGTAGGCGAAGGCTGGGACGGCCGGGGCAGAATTACAGCAAACTTCATAGAAATGGTCAAGCACGGGCAAATTTAAAGCAGTTTTGCGCTGGGGGTGCTCTGAACTCCCTTATCCTGGAAATTTCCCCAGAATTATCAACACACATAGTAAGTACAGCAATTTTAAAGCAAGCAGCTCTGGCTCCGGTACCGCTCGTCTCACCCATCCCTCGGTTCCAAAAGCCACACAAGACAACGCAGATTAGGGAACAAAGCAATTGGTAAGAAGTTTTGTGCTTTTTTTTGAAATACCTTGCACATGTTTTATTTCAGAGAGAGAGCTGAAGAAGCTTCCCTCCCCCCCTCAATTTTCCTGATGGTCTTATGTTTAAGGAACTCATACTCGGGATATTCTGGCTTTGTTCTCCCAGCCCATTGTAGCAGGGGCCACTAAATCAAACAGTTGCTGCTACGACAAAAGCACTCACAAAAATCTCAACCTCATCTTGAACCCTGAAGATTTTTATGGCTACTCCCTCGCTAACCCCTCCCCGAAGCCACATTAAAGGATGTATTGTTTTCAAAGGTCATGGTAGGTTTCATACCACATTTTAATACAATGTAAATTCTCCAAGAATATGATGATGTTACACAAGAGTCACAGAAGACGGTGCGAGAAAGAGAAGAAATCTCTATTTGCCTGTGTTTTATCAGGCATGCAGTAGAAGCAATAAATTTGATTTTTAAAAGGCTTATTTTTCCCCTCAGTGAAATGAGTGGTCCTGATAATTTCAGAAAGAAAATTCTTACGAATTTCCAAAAGGGAACACCTTCAAACCTGCTGAAGCACACGGCAAAGACACGTACAGAAAACACTGAAGCACACGAATGAGCATATAAAATACACAGCAAGTAAACGATTAAGTCTCAGGACCTCCCTCCAGCCCCCCGCGAGGCTCCGTCACCGCTCCCACCTGTATCACTCCTGCACATCCACCCCAGAGCAGCTCGGCCGCGGGCCCGGGGGGGCCCAGGCGCTGGCTCCGTCCCGGCGGGTCCCTGGGCTGCGGGAAGGATGGCACCCACCCCGGCAGCTGCACCCACAGCTCCTCGTGAGATTAACCTGGGGAACACCACCGGGAGCCCGTGCAGCCAGCTCGCACGGCTTCCATCGCCCGTGCTTTATAACGGAGCAGAAACAAAGACTTTATTTCCTAGAGCCAGGCCAGAAGCGGAGGCACAAACCCTCAGCCGAAGCCCCGGCGCTGGGATTCCGTCCTGCTGGAAAGCAGAGGGAGGACACAGAAACCTGCAGTGTGCAAAACTGCCCATTTATGCAAGAGAACGTGACTTACAGCTAAGAAAATCGTTTACAGCTGAAAAGAGATTACAGATGACACTCGGCACCGCAATTCGTTAATATATTTAACATCTTTTCAACCGCGTATCATTTATTTGCTTGGTGATTAACTCACCCTCTCGCACACACCCCGCAGACCCTTTAGCTGGGTTTAAATCTCAAGCTGCTAAATACCAGCTGTTTGGGGAGGGGGAGTGGAGGGGGGGAGATCTCACACATGTGTTACTTAAATCCTAACCAAACCCCGCTCGCCTCTCGCCTCTGATGATGCCTCAAACACAAACAAACGTCTTAAAGGTTTCTTTTTCCCCCCTTATCTTTCCTAACGATTTTTTTTTTTTTCCATTGTCAATTTCTAGTTCCAAGAAACCACCTCCTTAAATCCAGTAGGGAACGGGGTGGGGGGACTCCCCCCTCGCTGCCCAGCGCTGCATTGTCCAAGCGAGCCCACCCCCAAAACCAGCCGCCTTCGCTTAAGGGGCTTTTCTTCAACTTATAATCGATGAACACAGGGATTAAATTTTCTGTGGGGCGGCCCCTCCCCGGGCCAGCAGCGAGCTCGGCGGCCGAGCCCGTGGCCGGGGGCACAATGGGCCGGGGCGCCCCGCTCCCCCTCGCCCCGCCGTGGGGGTCCCAGCCCCACGCTGGATGGGGGGCAATGGCAGCAGCGTCCTGCCCGGCCAGGGCTCAAAGAGCAGCTTGTGCTGCCCGGATCAGGCCGGCCATGGCCAGGGCCTGAATAGAATTAACCCTCTGTGAACTAAAACAAAAACATTTGTGTGCCCAGCTGGGATAAAGGTTAATTTAAATGGACAAGCCTCCTCAAGTCTTTAAAAAAAAAAAGAAGGGGAAAGAAAGAGGCTGCTGCAACCTTATTCTCTGTACTGTAAAATGATGCTCTACAGACACAAGAGCACGGCTGCTTTATGAAAAGCAGGGAGTATTGAAAAGAAAAGGGGAGAAATGCTGTAACGGAGAAATGGCCAGCACATCCCAGCTTTGCCTTCTCTTCCCAGTAATTAAATCCAAAACTCCCAGTCTTATTCCACACTGATTCTGTTCCTGCCAAAGAAGAGCTGAGTGAAAAGAAAACCCTCATGAAAATCATCGGTTGCTCTTTTTCGTGTAGGTATAAATCAAGAGTATGGAGCTGATGAAACCCATCACCCTTCCCTCCCCGGGCTGGGACCCGTCACCATTTGCATATCAAAAACTCATCTGTGAAATGCAACTTCTCCTGGAGAGGCCGGGACCCCCCCGGACCCCCAGCACCCACGTCCCCCGGGACCCAGCGCCGGCAGGAGCCAGCCGGGGGGCTGAGGGGGCCGCTGGCAGACCCTGGCCTCGCTCCATTGTGCGGCACAGGGGGGACGGGC